CTTCTAGATCTTTTGAAGAAAAAAGTTTAGAACTAGATAGTTTTATATACTTTCTTACATTCTTGATGCCGGTTCAAAATACCTTTTATTCTATGGATCGTTTATTTTGCAATGCTATTATTTATTTTGTATTTAAAATACGTTAATCTTAATAGTTCAAGAAATTTTTTTTATTCTCTTTATTGATTTACAATCTGTCTTTACAAAAAGGAAGACATTCAGTAATTTTGATGATATATGAAATATTAAACATTAGATCTAAAAGGTTACCCAGTTTTTCAATTTGATATATTAAATTTAAATTCTGTGATTATATAGAGTAAACTTAAAAAAAAAAGATCTATGAGATAAATGAGTATAAATTGTGAATTATAACAACAAATAAAAAAGACATAACTTATAAACTAAACACAATAAAAACAAAAAAATATAAATAAACAACTAAATAAGTTGTACTGCTAATTAGAATGAATATATTATATATTATGTAGAGGTCATCCAAGAAAATAGCTTGTAAAAGTGTATCGATCTAGTGGTGCATGGAATCCGTACCAAAATTTTGAAGTTAAATTGATTTTTGAGATTTTTTTTTCAATTTGACTTTTCAGAAAAATTTTATATTCGCACACACAACACACACTTCTACAAAAATCTACAAAACTGACATCAACTCGATATACTTATAAATCATTCATCAATTAATATATTGATTTTAGTGATGTACGTCGATTATTTACACGTATAGGTACTTTAAACTACTACTTGCTTTAAGGCGAAATGCCACTTAAGTTCCATCTTTAAACTTTTTTTTTACCACTTTATTATATTTTTTTTAGCTCTAATATAGTATGAGTTCATAATACTTTCCAAAGTATTTTTTTATGAAGATGTGTTGTTTTCAGAATTCTGTACATTGTATGAAATAGTTGCCCAACGAAGTTGAATGTCTGACAAGTTAATAGAATATGCCAAGAACATTGAAAATAAAACCAAAATTGTTATTTACTCTAAAATGTGTATGTAGTTATAAAAAATCATAATTTGGTTGTTTGATAAAAATAGTAGGTATGGTGGTACATATTGGATTCTTTTATTTTTTAGTTGATTCTGTTGACTTCGATTAAAAGATACAATTTTAATATACAAATATGATGAACAATTTATTTATTAAACTATTACTACTTATCGAAGGAAAAGATTTTTTATATTTCTGAAACGTAGAAATAATTATAAATAAAATACATATTTTTTTTATTGGAAAGCTACATGTTCAGAAAAATAAAATAACAATTTAATGCTCATGTGCAAATATATATTATACGTAGGAGTATACATATTTATTAGGGTGGTCCTTAATAAGGATGCGTTCGAATTTTCTTGCCCCCAAGGGCTCAAAATGCTTCCAAATTGTTAAAAAAAAAATTCCCTGAAAGTTTTAGCTTTTATTTAAGATAGTCTGCACTACAACCAAAGTTTCTTGGTTCTTCTTCCTAAATGAATACTTATTTTATAAAATTAATCAAATGTTTGTTGAATTTTTTTTAATTATAATCAAAATAAGCAAATACAATGTTATTCTCAAAATTTTGATTCACTTATCGCAGTTATAAAGTTCTAAAAAACAAATGGAATTTTACCCATGTTATTTTCATAAGAAACTTTGGTTGGAGTGCGAAAACGGCTCAACTGATTTTTACCAAAAACTAATCAGCAAAATTATTTGCTATATTATGTTTCATACTTTGTCATTTCATACATTTTTTTAAGATTTGTGCCAGAAAAGGCACTACAAAATTTTACTACTACGTGCTTCAGAACTAAAAATGATCCAGAAAGACCTTCTGGAATTGAAATATGTGAATTACAAATCAATAGATAGAATAACTGGGTGTAAGTGGCATTTCTTGTTCTAAAGGTACGTCCCATAATTCAAAATTTTATGATTTTTTTTAAATGAAACCGCTTATCGTAAATTTATAGTATTTAGGATGATGGAGAATAATTACAGTTTTCATATAATTTAGTACTTTACTATAAGAACAAAATCACATAGGCTAGTATCAATTATGTCATTAGTTGTATTGCCAAATTAAATATATTTTAATCACAAGAACAAAATATAAATGAAGCGTTTCGAAGAGCTTGTTAAATATAGAACCATCAGTTTCAGTGCAACTTTGTAGTATTGAAGAAAATTTATTGCTATATATTTTTATCTGGATAGAAATAGAAAAAATGTCTTGAAATAGAATAAGGTATTAACAGCCAATTTTTCGGATTTACAACAAAATGAAGTACCTTTTTTAATTTTTGCGAAGGCAGGTCTAGGGGTTCAGAGATCGAGTGAAAAAAGTGAAAAGAAAAGCCATTGAATTTAGAGTTTTTTTTTAAATCTATCACCTTACCCTTGTTATATTAAATTTTTGCTAAAATATTTCCTTCTTTTATCCTTTAGAAAAATAATGAATTATTTTCATATACAATGCAATTAAACTAAAATCCTATTATTTCCCAGAAGGTTATATTATTTCCAATTAAGAGCTAAAAATCTCAGATGAATTCAATGGTTCAATGAAATTTCTAATACATTGTCTTCAATAAGAAAACCTTCATAATAAAGCATCCTTGGATGGAGAAGTTCTTAATTGATACAAAATATCTGATGCATTTCAAAAACAAGATAAATGCTAAGTCAAGCAAAAGTAGCAAATATTATAGTTGATTTTGTGAAAAGCAACCTTGACAAATGAGAAAATATTGAAGTTAATTAGTTCTTTATAGATATTGTTAGTAATAATTGAGAGAAAAAAACAATCCTTGAGATTGTACTGTCACCAAATAATTGAATGTTCTTGTCCTTGAGATAAAATGAAACGTATATCTAATGTTAGAAATGTAGATATTAAATTTTATGGAACGGGTTGAATATAAAGATGTCAGAATATCAAATTTTATCATGCAAATCATGATTGCAAAATGGTAAAAGACTTCAACATTTTATTATTGAAGAATTTTGGGTAAAATACGAAAATCTAAATTGGCATGATTTTTGCTAGAAACATTTGTTCGAATGGCTTTCAAATTTTTAAAATCGGTTCAGCCGTTTTTGAGAAAACGTAGACGAAAGGTCAAATTTAGGTTCACATACAAATACAGATATTTTTAACTTCCCGTAGGGTAGTTATAGTAATGGGCCGAAAATCGAAAATAAAATTTTTTGCATTTCTCGACGTTTTGAAGGTTTCTGAACATTTTGGCATACCTCAGAAAAAATGGATGTGTGTGTATGTGTGTGTATGTGTGCGTGTGTATGCGTGTGTGTGTCTTGTATGTCCGCATTTTTTTGTCCACGTTTTCGGGCGCACGGATCAACCGATTTGAATGGTTTAAAAACGTACGATCTCTGTTGATAGGGAGATGTGCTGATTAGTTTTTGGCAAAGGCAAGTCCAGCCGTTACGGAGAAACGGAGCAAATAGTGCAGAAAATACAAATCGAGTTTTTTGAGAGAACGGAGTATTCGATTTGAATGATCTAAAAAACATTCAATTTGTAATGATTGGGAGAAGAGGTGATTAGTTTTTGGCAAAGACAGGTCCCGCCATTTCGAAGCAAAAATAAATGTGCAAACAATGGCAGTTTTTGAGTCCTATTGAACTATGCGTCCGATTTGAATGATCTAAAAAAGTTTCTGCTTGTATTGACAAAACAATTGCTTTTGAGGCTAAAAAATTATTATATCTTTTTTTATTTTCCATAAAATATTTTGTAATTTTGGATTAATAATTCAAAAAATTACTCAGGCTAAGCACAGTATAAGCGCCACTCTGGTACAAATGTTTACCCAAGTGCGTTTAGACTGTTTATGTACTGGAGAACTGTTACAATTTTGTGAAAACTATTGAAAAATGTGAAAATGCCGCCAAGCTAAGCACAGTATAAGTGAAAATGTCGCACAGAATTATTTGCAAATGCGTTCAGACTGTGACTACACGGGAGCACTTTTTCAATTCTATGGCAACTATTTTTTTTTAAATTAAATTCGAAATGAAATGACGATTGTTAATGTTCTGGAGATAAATTGATTTATTTATGATTTACATTTAATTTGCTCAGATATAACAAGATAGCAAAAATAATGAATGTTACAGCATTTGTAATAATATATTTGAAAACGTTTAAAATTTCTCCAATATTTCGTTACGGTACGGGAAGTTCCAGCAATTGGCCTTAAGGCACGATGCCATGCACCCCACTAGTTTAATTTATATTTTTTAGTAGAATAATTAACAATGACCGTACAATTAGTCTAGTTAGTGATTTTATGGATCAAATATACTGAAGAAACGAATCTTGGTCGCCCACAAAAAGCTTCTATTACGCCCTCATTTAAAAATTATGTGTAATTCGTGTAAATATAAAATTAGACGTATAAATCAGATCGGAAACATGTTTTTTATTTGTAATAAACCATATAAAACAATTCTCCCATGAATTTTCCAAATTTTACATAAATTTGAAAACAAATATTGTCCGGTCCATCTAAAAACAAGATTTGAATATTGCGCCACGATTTTTTATCACGATATATTTCTACTGGAGATGGTAATTGTCGAAGGGAAGTTCCATGAAATAAATGCTGCTTTGGTTAGAGAAATAGATTTAAAATTTAAATCTAATCCATTTATTTCGTGGAACTTCCCTTCAGCAATTACCTTTCCCTATACACCAGGCCGTTTTCCACTTATCCCAAAATTCCACCAATTAAGCAGCCTTCCAAACGTTGACATCTAAATATTTGATTTGCCGATATGATGTCATAGTTTCCATCCACGACCCTTATCTTCCACCAGTATTTAGGGCGTGGATATTATTGGATTTGGGTATGGGTATAAAGGGACTTGTTAACAAAATTGATAGATTTTAAGTGTATCTATATCTATTATTCGATGACGTCATCATCTGATGTGAATTTTTTATTGTTTTTATAGATTTGTGGAGACGAAAAGTCGGGCTGAAATGTCACAGGACACGAGGCGAGCGCCGCAACATGGTGAGTGCTGGAAAATTTTATAAAGGACACATTATTTTAGAATTAAATGAGCATATATATTATATATATATATATATATATATATATATATATATGTATATCTTCTATATATATAAAAATAAGTCGCGTTTTCCTTCCTGACGAAATAACTCCAGAACGCACGAACCGATTTCGACAATTTTGCATTCGTTAGAAAAGACTCGGGCTCCGCAAATTTATAGCTAAGAAAATTAGTGGTGCATGGCATCGTACCTTAATGCAAATTGCTGGAACTTCACGCACCGTAATTAAAAATTCGAGTAATTAAGAATTATCAGAATTATGCTTGGTTAAGTCAACGAGCAATTCTTGCCGCAAAGAATAATGATGTACACGCACTGAATTTCACCATTCAATCAAAAATTGCAAGCGATTTCGTGACATACCAATGATTCCGACTGGTCTTCCGTTTGACTTCAAACGATTGCAATTTCCATTTGGCCTTGCTCTCGCAATGACAACTAACAAGTCGCAAGGCCAATCGCTTAGTGTTTGCGGGATAAATTTCAAATAGATTATTTAGAAAATCATTGTTTTTTACATGGGCAGTTATACGTTGCCTGTTCACGAGTTGGAAAACCATCCGCTTTGTTTGTGTTAACGTCAGACCAAAAAACAAAAAATGTGGTTTACCAAAGAGCACTTCAATGAAACGGATAATTTGTGGATTCACTTTCATTTACTTAGAGAAGTTCAACTAAAAAACACTTCATTTTTGTAATCAAAATAAATTCGTTACTGTTGTATAATAAAATCAAATTTTTCCTTTTAAAATATAAAACAAACAAAAAATTGTTTTATCTTTCTCACGAAACCATCTGGTGGCGAAACGGAGTTCGTCGGGTTTGCTAGTATATATATATATCTATATATATATATATATATATATATATATATATATAACAAATGTATTCTGAGTGGATAGATAGATATTAATTTAGAAATATGAACATACAAACCCTCTTTTTTGCACTATTTATTAAATAATAATTTCACAAACGTTTCGAGACTAAGTTTGTCTCATCATCAGTCTGCTATAAATTTAAAATCTAAAATATGGAAATCTATATTACCATTATGTGTTATCCGTTACAAGTCGTTCACTATACTAAACTAAAATCTCTATCAAGGTCAAATAGATGAGTCATGAAATATCAAGTAGGAAAGAGAAGGAATAGGGCCCAGTTTAAAAACAGATTTACTACTAAAGGCCTCATATTTCCAATTCAATAATAAATTTTATACTATGATAAGAGGATGTCCTATGGGAAGTCTTAAGTCCCATATTAGCAGACTTAGTGCTACAAGATTTAGAAAATAGTGTATTGAATTCTTTAATTTGCAAACCACTTTTATATTTTAATATATATAATATATTTTAATATATTAATATATAATATATATATATATATATATATATATATATATATATATATATATTAAAATGATCTGTTTTTTGGTTCTGCTTCGAGGAGTAATGAGAATTACACGTCAGATTTTTTGCAACGTTTGCAATTACCAATGCTAATTAGTTTATAATTAAATGATGAATGGATTTGGAAGTTAATTAATTTAAACAATATGTATCAATCCAAAATTGACTGCGGGCTATAATTCTATCATGACCTGAATAATTATGACTGGTTTATTGGTAAATGTATGATTAAATATTTATACATTTATCGCCAAATTATCACTAGAAACATAAAATTTATTCCTGTGAATCTCTACATTGCCGATGAAAATTAAAATCTATTTTTGATTATGTAAAATACTAACGTGTGGGTCAGATAAATGTTAACATTAAGGAATTTTTGAACATTTTTGAATGCGAAGATACTAACTGAAAATAAATGTACAGGACGAGTGTAAATAACTTCACTCTCTACATAAAAAGCAAACATTTTCTATTGCTAAAAATGACGATTAAAATGTATTGTTTTTTTAAAATATCACAATAACTCTTAAATCAACTACATTAATCAATATTTCATCGGCTTGAGTTACGTTTTTTTATTTATTAAAGCCACATTTGGAATTCATGATTTATTCTAGTCCTATTTTTTAAAACATCTACTTTGCCATTTTTTCACTTAATAGATAGATGCAGAAAGTTAAGGTGACTATTTTTTCAAACACAGGGCACAAAAATTTGTTGTCTTTAATGAAATTCAATTAAACTATACACAACTAATTTTATTTAAGTACGTGATAAAAACCAGTTTTTTTAAGTGAATCAATTTTTCTATTAAAATCAATCCAGGGCAATTCTTGCTTCTAGAAAACTCCGAGGGAGCGGAGAAATTCTGGGTCTAATGATGACTTTAATAAAATAGTAATAAAAATGAAAATTAACCCACATTTGTTCAAAACATTTGCAATATTTAATTACTATTAAATTTGAAACTAGTCATAATTTGTGTTGTTTTTATAAAAATCGGCTAAAGAATACTGCAATTTATAATTAAATCTAATTTTTAAATACTTATCAATTTGATGACTTTTTTTTGAACTAATTATGTGAACTTTAAACATTATAGATCTTTGTACGGAAGATTTTGAAACAAAATTTGTACTTATTGTTAAAATCTCTGTGAAATTCCATCAAATGGTCGTTTTTGACCGCCAATTATTGTCATTGACATTGACAATTATCATTTTTTTTTTAATTTTTGTATTTTCGAAATCGCTGGACCTGCGTTTCCAATAACTCAATCAGATTTTCATTTCAATTCAATTTGAATTTATATTTTCAATATAAGTTAAATGTTCTTTGAATATTTACCGTTATTTTTGGCACATTTTGCACAGTATTTTCGATACAGCTAGACCTGCTTTCGGAAAAAACTAGGACCTGCCTTTACTCAGCACTTTCCGCCATTAATAGGAATCGAATGCGTTTTTAATCATTCAAATCAGTTAAGTCTGCTCTCGGAATCGTGTACGAAAAAATTGTATTCAGACAAACATACATGCGTACATACTAGACAAACATACCGTCTGTTCAAAAAGTACCCGGAATTTTCGTTTTTTCAAAAAAATATTTATTTATTCGTCTACATTAATGTGGTCCCCTTCAAAGTAGTCCCCCCCAGATATAATACACTTATGCCAGCGTTTTTTCCAATTTTCGAAGCACCCTTGATATTCACTTTTTGATATGTCCTTGAGCACTCTCAGCGATTTTCTTCAATCGAGGAAAACCGCCGTCCTTTCATGGGTCTCTTCAACTTTGGGAATAGGAAAAAGTCACACGGAGCCATATCTGGTGAATTTTTGCACTTTGCAACACTTTATTTCATTTTTTACGCAAAATTTAATACAAATTCTTTGACTTTTCAATTCTTCCATTGTAAAAATCGCCGAGCTCAGAAAAACACGTCGAACCTTAGCGACTACCACAGACAAAGTAAACAGTGAATATAGCTGAAAATTTCATCATACTTTAGGGGCATGTATACCAACACAATAAAAAAAAAATTTTGACAATCAGACACTCCAGACCCGCGAAATTTAATTATTAGTAATTCCGGGTACTTTTTGAACACACCTCGTACACCACCATTTCCTAAGGAATACCAAAATGTTCAGGAAGTCTTGAAACGTAAATATAAGCAAAAAATATATTTTCAATTTTTTTTTGCGATTACTATAACTTGCCCTACGACTTTAAACCGTGATATAATAATTCTGAAAATTTTGTTATTTTATTTGTGGCATCTAGGGATAAAACTCTTTTTTTTTAAGTTTGAGTAGGACAATTCACTTCTTCAACAAGAAGTGACATTGATCTAAATAAATATACATATTTATTTAACTTACCGTTAGTTATGGTAATCGCAAAAAAATAAAAACATTAATAAGAATCATGCAATGTTTTTGTGTCTCTTCTGAAATTTGTTTTTCGAATCATTTTCACGAAAAGCGGTTGTTAACCAACTAGCTTCATATGATTCTTCAAATTTTTAAAAATTACAATAGCACTGCGTTTTCATAGATTTAAATTACAAGCAGTTGCGTATAATCATATAATATTTATATATTTTTCATTTATCGAATAAATTAAGCTTTAGTTTTTTTTTACCTGTTCTATGTTTTGTAGCCGTGTAGTAGCGCATGGTAACCGCATTCCATCGAAGAAAAGCGCTTATAGTGCGGGGCGCACGTGCTATCGGGAAAAACTACATCACCTCGAGTCGCCACGCCGTGTGCGCGAGCTGGCCTAATGGCAATTTTCATCGTTTTCATCGGAAAACGCTATGAATCACCACACAAAAGCGACCAGGTCGATTTTTTAGGAATGCGCGATAATACAAATATTATTGAAACGATCTGAACGGTTTGATTAGATTTTGGTCGAAAGGTGAAAGATTAATACAAATCACTGATTCATAATCAATGCACTGTTTTTTCTTGTTGTGTATATAGAATACTTGAAAGTTTATACTGTACATTGTTTCAAATAAGTATAATTTTTATTTTTTTATTCAATTTTATTCTGTAATCTGTATATATTATTATATGAAGCGGAGAATGCTGACAGATATATGGTAGAATTAAGTTGATAACAAATTAGTTGATACCCTCAGTGGCATAGGGGGCTTCTATTAATCACGTGAGCGAGTTTTTAAGGATTTTTGGATCCCTCCTTTCCCTTGGTGATACATGGTGATATTCAAAATTAACCCCCCCTCCCCCATCAAACATCACATGTATATACATTAGGGTGGTCCTTAACAAGGACCTTTTCGAATTTGTTTGCTCCCAACGGCGCCAATGCTTCCAAATGAATAAAAAATGAATCTCTAATAGTATTAGCTCTTGATATAAACATTAAGATAGAGCGCACGCCAATTGAAAGATTCTTATATTTGTTATTAACATATGTCATTAAGTAAATTCTTGCGCCATCTGTACAGTATTTATGAACTCAAATATTATGACACATAGGAATATTTATG